AACAGAGCAAGACCCCATTTCTACAAAATATGAAAAAAAAAAAATTAGCCAGGCATGCTGGCATGTGCTATGATCACGCCATTGCACTCTAGCCTGGGCAACAAAAAAAACAAAAAACACATTTTTGGACAGAACGGATTTAATACAATCTTGAATTCAAACAGTCCTGCCTTAGGAGACGGTCTAGTCTAATGTTTACTTAGGGGCAGTGTCCTGCCAGAAGGCTTGTGTACTTCCAGTAAGGACAGGACCCTCCTCTAGAATGCTGCTCCAGTCAGGGTAGTGCTGTGAGAAGTGTTAACATAGGGCCTCAGGCGCCTCCCACCGGCTTTGACCCCCCGACCCTCTCAACGTCTCTCCTCCAGAACTCAGGTGCCAAAGCCTATGCTGTGGCTTGCAGGGACCGTGCTGTGGTGCTGTGCTGCTTCTACGTGGGCTGAGACGCAGAATACGGCAGAGCTATTTCTCCTGAACATTTCACACCCACTAACAAATCTGCAGTAAACTAAAACTGTGTATTTTTTATATAACACTGAAATTAAGCTAGGTGTCCACTATTTTTTTCTCCATTGTAAAAATGTCCATTTTGAAACTATAGAAATGGAATGGAAAAGCCACTGGCTTGTATCAGACCAGCATTTTTATTTTAAACAAGTTACATAACTTTAAAAAACATATCACAGTCAAATAAAATAAATAGTATAGCAGCGTTTTGTTTTAAGAGACCATGTCTCACTACATGTTGCCGAGGCTGGCCTCAAGCAATCCTCCCACTCGGCTTCCCAAGCAGCTGGCACTACGAGTGTGGCACCACACCCAGCTCAATAGCACCTGAGTGTTTTACAGTGAGAAGTAAACGGTCCCTTTCCAGACTCATGTATTTTCTTGTAAGGAAAGGATATACATTCTGTTTTTTCTCCAGCTAACATCACAACAAATGTTTCCTCACGGTATTAAGTAAAGCTCTTAGAAAAAAAATAACATTCTCTCCAGAAGCATGGACGTTCCCAGTTTAAATCCCAGTTCTGCGGTTTTCAAGGCAAATTAATTAACTAATTTGCAATGCCTGTCTCAAGGAGCCATCCTGGGGCCATAGGAGATACCCAACTTCCCAGAACTGTGACAGCTCAAAAAACAGAAGCTGTTCATGACTGTGTTCTCCTATCACTGGGCATTTTGGATGTTTCCGATTTTGCTATAAATTACAGCAAAATTCTCACTGAGCATAAAACTATGTATAGTTGGGCTTTTTCTTCCTACTGAAGAGGTAGAACTACCGGGGCCCTAAGGCATGATTACTCTTAAGGTTCTTCATATAATGCCAAACTGCTTTCTATAAGGATCAATTTTATTCCCACCTGAACACTACATTGACTTCCACCCCAACCAGGTAATGCCACACCATTAAATGCCTTTTAATCTTTGATATACCTGAATGACAACACTGCACTGTTTTAATGGGTGTTTCTTTGAAATTTTACTTATTAACCATTGGAATTTCTATTTTGTTTTCAAGTTCATTGCCCATTTATCCATGGTGTTTTAAATTTCTCTATTTGCATAAGTTGTGTGTGT